TGCCACCCCCTGAGAGTGGCGTGCGAATGGTTTGCCACCCCCTTGAGTGGCATGCGAGTAGATTGCCACCCCCCGAAGGTGCGGGCGAGTGGTTTGGCACCCACTGAGAGTGGCATGCGAATGGTTTGCCAACCCCCTAAGTGGCTTGGGAGTGGTTTGCCACCCACCCGAGTGGCGTGCGAGTGGTTTGCCACCCCCCGAAAGTGGCGTGCGTATGGTTTGCCACCCCCCAAGATGGCATGGGTGTGGATTGCCACCCCCCGAGAATCGCGTACGAATGGTTTGCCACCCCCCAAGAGTGGATTGCGAGTGGTTTGCCACCCTCCTAGAGTTGCGTACAAGGGGTTTGCCACCCCCCAAGGTGGCGTGCAACTGGTTTGCCACCCCCTGAGAGTGGAGTGCGAGTGGTTTGCCACCCCACCAGAGTGGCGTGCGAGTTGTTTGCCACGCCTCGAGTGTGGCGTGCGAGAGGTTTGCCTTCCCCGGAGAGTGGCGTGCGAGTGGTTTGCCACCCCTTGAGAATGGCGTGCGAGTGGTTTGCCACCCTCCAGAGTGGCGTGCGAGTGGTTTGCCACCCCTAAAGAGTGGTGTACGACTATTTTAGCACCCACGCAAGTGGGGTGCAAGTGGTTTGTCACCACGCCGTGCGGCGTGCGAGTGGTTTGCCTCCCGTCTGTGTGACGTGCCAGTGGTTTGCAGCCCCTCGAGAGTGGAGTGCGAGTGGTTTGCCACCCCCCAAAGTAGTAGGCGAGTGGTTTGCGACCCCTTGAGAGTGGCGTGCGAGTGGTTTGCCACCCCCTGAAAGTGGAGTGCGAGTGGTTTTCCACCCCCCCAGGGTGGCGTACGAGTGGTTTGCCACCTCCCGAAGTGGAGTGCGAGTTGTTTGGCACCCCCTGAGAGTGGCGTGCGAGTGGCTTGCCACCCCCCAAGGTGGCGTGCTTATGGATTGCCACCACCCAAAATTGCGTGCGAATGGTTTGCCACCCCCCGAGAGTGGAGTGCAAGTGGTTTGCCACCCCTCGAGTGTGGTCTGCGAGAGGTTTGCCACCCCGCAAGAGTGGCATGCGAGTGGTTTGCCATCATCCGGGAGTGGCGTACGAGTGGTTTGCCACCCCCCAAAGTGGCGTGCGGGTGGTTTGCCACCTCTCCAGAGTGGCGTGCGAGTGGTTTGCCACCCCCCAGAGTGGAGTGCGAATGGTTTACCACTCCTCGAGTGTGGCGTGCGAGAGGTTTGCCTTCCCTCGAGAGTGGCGTGCGAGTGATTTGCCACCCCCCAAGAATGGCGTCCGAGTGGTTTGGCACCCTCCAGAGTGGCGTGCGAGTGGTTTGCCACCCCCGAAAGTGGGGTGCAAGTGGTTTGTCACACCGCCGTGCGGCGTAAGAGTGGTTTCCTAAAACCCCAAGAGTGGCGTGCGAGTGGTTTGCCACCCCCCGAGAGTGGCGTATGAGTGGTTTGCCACCCCCCCAGAGTGGCGTTCGAATGGTTTCCCCCCCCCAAGAGTGGCTTGGGAGTGGTTTGCCACCCCCTTGAGTGGCATGCGAGTGCTTTGCCACCCCCCGAGACTGGCGTGCGAGTTCTTGGCCACCCCCCAGAGTTACATGCGTCTGGGTTGCCACCCCTTGAGAGTGGCGTGCGAATGGCTTGCCACCCCCTTGAGTGGCATGCGAGTGGATTGCCACCCCCCGAAGTGGAGTGCGGGTTGTTTGCCACCCCCCGAAGTGGTGTGCGAGTGGTTTGCCACCTCCCTAAGTTGCTTTGGAGTGGTTTGCCACCTCCTGTTTTGCGTGCGAGTGGTTTGCCACCTCCCAAGAGTGGCGTGCGAGTGGTTTGCCACCCCCTCGAGTGGCCTGCGAGTTGTTTTCCACCCCCTAGAAGTGGCGTGCGAGTGATTTGCCACCCCCCAGTATGACGTGGGAGTGGTTTGGCACCCCTCGAGAGTGGCGTGCGAATGGTTTGCCATCCCGTGGGAGTGAAGTGCGAGTAGTTTGCCACCTCCCAGAGTGGCGTGCGAGTGGTTTGCCACTCCCCCGAGTGGCGTGCGAGTGGTTTGCCACCCCGTAGGAGTCGTGTGCGAGTGATTTGCCACTCCTTGTGTGACGTGCGAGTGGTTTGCCACCCGTAAAGAGTGGCGTGCGAATGGTTTGCCACCCCGCGAGAGTGGAGTGCGAGTGGTTTGCCACCCCCCGAGTGTGGCGTGCGAGAGGTTTGCCACCCCCAAAGTGGCGTGCGGGTGGTTTGCCACCTCCCCAGAGTGGCGTGCGAGTGGTTTGCCACCCCTTTAGTGTGGCGTGCGAGAGGTTTGCCTTCCCCAAAGAGTGGCGTTTGAGTGATTTGCCACCCCCCAAGAATGGCGTCCGAGTGGTTTGGCACCCTCCACAGTGACGTGCGAGTGGTTTGCCACCCCCCAAGAGTGGCGTGCAGGTGGTTTGCCAGCCCCCAGGGTGGCGTGCGAGTGGTTTGCCACCCACCGAGAGTGGCGTATGAGTGGTTTGCCACCCACCCAGAGAGGGGGAATTCAGTAAGTTAGGGGTGATCAATGCTAGGAAGGGGTTATTAAACAAGGTATGGGAGACTAAGCAAGATAGGATTTCTTCAACAGGGTAAGGGGAATTCAGTAAGGTAGGCGTACACAAGCAAGGTAGGGATGTTTCTGCAAGGTAGGGGGGATTCAGCAACGTAGGGATGATTAAGATCATACGAATGATTTATCAAGGTAGGGGTGATCAAGAAATCTAGAGGGAATACAGCATTGGAACAAAATTACAGCAAAGTAGCGGTGACTAAACAAGGTAGTGGGAATTCAGCAAGATAGGGGTGATTAAGCAATGAAGGGGTGATGAAGCAAGGTAGGGGTGATTAAGCAAGGAAGGGGTGATTCAGCAAAGGGGTGGAAATTTTGCAAGGTAGGGGTGATTAAGCAAGGTAGGGTTGATTATGCAAGGATGGGGTGATTCAGCAAGGTAGGGATGATTAGGCAAGGTAGGGATGATTCAGCAAGATATGGAGAATTTAGCAAGGACTTGGACATGCGAAAACGCTTGAGATACTGTACCATAACTTCCCACACACCTGGGTTTTGCATCCGAGCACAGGCCAGCATGCTCTTGAGCCCATACACTAACCATGCATGTAAAAAGCAAGATGTTTGAGCACGCTCGATAGCAAGATAACCAAGTTGAGGTCTCGTAGGAAAATGCTCAAGTACTGGAAAAAGGAACACATACAATACCATTACTTTTTGCACACTTAGGTTTTGGATCTGAGCACCAGCCACAATTATCTTGAGCCCATGCACTAACTGTTCATGCAAAACAAGGGCTTAGAAATTGCTTTGTATCTGAAAAACAAAATGAAAAGTTGAGGTTTTGTTGGGCAATGCTCAAGTGTTTAGTCATGGGACAATAGTTGACATACTATAACTTTCCAACCACTTGGATTTTGCATCTGAGCACAAGCCATGATGCTCTTGAGGCCATACACTAGCTATGTATGCAAAGGGAAGGAGTTTTCGTGAACAAGATCCTAAATGAAAAAACAGGTGGTTGTTTGGTGGGGTACCACTCAAGAACTTGGACATGCGAAAACGCTTGAGATACCATAACTTCCCACACATCTGGGTTTTGCATCCGAGCACAGGCCAGCATGCTCTTGAGCCCATACACTAACCATGCATGTAAAGATCAAGATGTTTGAGCACGCTCAATAGCAAGATAACCAAGTTGAGGTCTCGTAGGAAAATGCTCAAGTACTGGAAAAAGGAACACATACAATACCATTACTTTTTGCACACTTAGGTTTTGGATCTGAGCACAAGCCACGGTTATCTTGAGCCCATGCACTAACTGTTCATGCAAAACAAGGGCTTAGAAATTGCTTTGTATCTGAAAAACAAAATGAAAAGTTGAGGTTTTGTTGGGCAATGCTCAAGTGTTTAGTCATGGGACAATAGTTGACATACTATAACTTCCCAACCACTTGGATTTTGGATCTGAGCATAAGCCATGATGCTCTTGAGGCCATACAATAGCTATGTATGCAAAGGGAAGGAGTTTTACTGAACAAGATCCTAAATGAAAAATTAGGTTGTTGTTTGGTGGGGTACCACTCAAGAATTTGGACATGCGAAAACGCTTGAGATACCATAACTTCCCACACACCTGGGTTCTGCATCCGAGCACAGGCCAGCATGCTCTTGAGCCCATGCACTAACCAGGCATGCAAAAAGCAAGATGTTAGAGCACGATCATTAGCAAAACAACCAAGTTGAGGTCTCGTAGGAGAATGCTCAAGTACTGGAAAAAGAAACACATACAGTGGCGGAATAAATTGTCCACATGTTCAGCTTTTTTTGGCATTTTAATGAGTGCCGCGGTGTATACATTAAGCCTTAATGTATGGTGTGCATTCACGCTTAGAAGTTCAGTTAGAGCACTCACTCGAGTTGACAAAGACCAAAGTAGTACCACACATGGTCCTTAAACACCTAAGCATAGCATAGGATAACATCCGGACAATTGGTACCGGAAACAGAGCTCATACTAGATTCTGTGAAAACTAGTACCTAGTCCAGCGTCCCTTTGCCCGAATCACTGCCTTGATCCTCCTCGGCAGGCTGTCGATCAGGTTTGCACACACCTCCGGCGGTATCTTGTCCCATTCCTCCTGCACCCTCTCCCACAGCTCCAGCATTCCACTTGGCGGCTTTTCGTACTTCCGCGGCTGCCTTTTCAATTGTGCCCATAGGTGCTCAATCGGGTTAAGGTCCGTGGAGCACGACGGCCATTCCAGCACCTCGTACTTCTGCTCCCCAAGCCAGTCTTGGACCAGACGAGACCTGTGCTTGGGATCATTGTCGTGCTGGAAAATGACCTCTGAGGGGGAAAGCTCGAAAAAATCGATGGTCTGTTTGAGCTCATCTTGCAAGATGTTGCGATACAGCGGCCCATCCATCCTGCCATCTATCTTGCACATGAACCCCGCCCCCTCATACGTCATGCAACCCTACACCATCACAGAACCGCCCCCATTCTTAACTGTCTGCTGGACTTGGTGGCTCCGAAGGCTGGTGCCCTCGCAAATCCAGGCGTACGCACGTCCGTCGGAGCAGTAGCGGTTTATCTTCGTCTTGTCAGACCAAATCACCCGCTTCCAGTCCTCCAGCGTCCACTCGGCATGCGCCCGCGCGAAGTCTAGACGATCTCGGATGTTTTTCGATGAGAGCCTGGGTTTCTTGGGCTGATGCACGGCGGTCAGCCCCGCGGATCGTAATGGGTTCCTGACCGTCTTCGAGTCTACGGCGAGATCGTGCTTCTCCAACAACATCTTGGCCGCGTCTACAGAGCTTTTCGCCTCTCCGCTTGTAATCGCGCGTATTATTCCGCACTGGAGACGGGTAGTGATTAAGCGGGGGTGGCCGGCCAAAGGCATCGTAGGTCGCACCTCCTCGCGACTAGTCTCGGCAGCGAGTTTCAAACTGTAATCGTGCACGGTGCTCTTGCCTACGCCAAGAACTTTGCCTATTTTCCTAGTCGAATGCCCCGCACGCAACATGCTTATGATCCTCGCGCGCTTCCGCTCATTTAACGGCTTCATAGCGATGCGGTCGTAGGCTCGCTTCCGGACTAACTCCTAAGCCAGCAACTGGTGCGCATGACGATGTACACACCGAGTGACGGGGGAAAATAGATCTACTCTTCCGCTCGGTAGGAAATGTCCACATCGATAGTCGAGGAGTAAATTTCAACCCCACTTTCCGGTTGTGTCACAATCGCGCCAAGCAAGAAACAGATGAAGCAGAACTCAAAAACATTGTAACAGAATGGCAAAAAACGGGTGTTACTATTTTCGAAACATGTGTGGCATAACAATACGTTACAAAGTGTTAAACATCCGGGCAATTTATTCCGCCACTCTACAATACCATTACTTTTTGCACACTTAGGTTTTGGATCTGAGCGCAAGCCACAATTATCTTGAGCCCATGCACTAACTGTTCATGCAAAACAAGGGCTTAGAAATTGCTTTGTATCTGAAAAGCAAAATGAAAAGTTGAGGTTTTGTTGGGCAACGCTCAAGTGTTTAGTCATGGGACAATAGTTGACATACTATAACTTCCCAACCAATTGGATTTTGGATCTGAGCACAAGCTATGATGCTCTTTAGGCCATACACTAGCTATGTATGCAAAGGGAAAGAGTTTTAGTGAACAAGATCCTAAATGAAAAAACATGTTGTTTGGTGGGGTACCTTTCAAGAACTCAGACATGCGAAAACGCTTGAGATACCATAACTTCCCACACACCTGGGTTATGCATCCGAGCACAGGCCAGCATGCTCTTGAGCCCATACACTAACCATGCATGCAAAAAGCAAGATGTTTGAGCACGCTCAAAAGCAAGGTGGTCAGGATTCAGCAAGGTAGGGATGATGAAAAATTGTAGGGATGATTAGTCAAGATAAGGGTGATAAAGCAAGGTAGAGGGAATTCAGCAAAAGGGTGGGGATTCAGCAAGGTCGGGGTGAGTAAGCAAGGTAGGGGTGATTAAGCAAGGTAGGGGTGATTAGGCAAGGTAGGGGTGATGAAGAAAGGGAGGGATGATTCAGCAAGATATTGAGAATTCAGCAATGTTGGGGTGATTAAGGAAGGTTGTTGGGATTCAGCAACGTGGGGGGGAATTTAGCAAGGTAGGGGTGATTAATGAAAGGTCAAGGTTTTTTATCAAGGTATGGGAGACTAAGCAAGGTAGGAGTGCATATACAAGGTAGGGGGATTACAGAAAGGTAGTGGAAATTCAGCAAGGTGGGCGTAATTAAGCAAGGTAGGAATGATTCAGCAAGGTGGTGGGGATTCAGCAAGGTAGGGATGATTAATCAAGATAGGGGTCATCAAGCAAGCTAGAGGGAATTCAGCAAAAGGGTAGGAATTCAGCAAGGTAGGGGTGATGAAGCAAGGTAGAGATGATTTAGCAAGGTAGGGGTGATTTAGCTAGGTAGGGCTGATTAAGAAAGCGAGGGATGATTGAGCAAGGTGGGGAGAATTCAGCAAGGTAGGGGTGATTAGGGGAGTTAGCGGGGACTCAGCATAATAGGGAGAATTCAGCAAGTTAGGGGAGATTCAGCATGGGAGTGGTTTGCCACCCACCAGCATGGCCTACGAGTGGTTTGCCAACAACCCAGGTGGCGTGCGAATGGTTTGCGACCCCCCGAGTTGGTGTGCGAATGGATGGCTACACCCCTAAGTGGTGTGTGAGTGGTTTGCCATCCCCTAGAGTGGCGTGCGAGTGATTTGCCACTCCCCCATAGTGGCTTGCGAGTGGTTTGCCAACCCCAAGAACGCAGTGTGAATGGTTTGCCACCCCCTGAGTGGTGTGCGAGTGGTTTGCCATCTCTCCAAGAGTGGCGTGCGAGTGGTTTGTCACCCACCAGAGTGCCATGCGAGTGGTTTGCCACCCCCAACAGTGGCGTGCGAGTGGTTTGCCACCCCGCGAGAGTGGGGTGCAAGTGGTTTGCCACCACCTACAGTGGTGTGCGAGTGGTTTGCCACCTCCCGACAGGGGTGCTTATGGTTTGCCACCCCCGCAAGTAGCGTGCACGTGGTTTGATTCCCCCCCGCGCGGCGTGCGATTGGTTTGCTACCCCCTAGAGTGGCGTGCGAGTGGTTTGCCAATCCTAGAGAGTAGCATGCAAGTCATTTGCCACCCACCGAGAGTGGCATGCGAGTGGTTTGCCACCCCTCAAGAGTGGCGTGCGAGTGTTTTGCCACCCCTCAAGGTGCCGTGCGAGAGGTTTGCCACCCCCCGAAACTTGGGTGCGAGTGGTTATCCGCCCCTGAGAGTAGCGTGCGAGTGGTTTGCCACCCACCAGAGTGGCGTGCGAGTGGTTTGCCACCCCCCCGACAGTGGCATGCTAGTGGTTTGCTACCCCTTGAGAGTGGCATGCAAATGGTTTGCAACCTTCCCAAGTGGCGTGTAACAGGTTTGCCACACCCCAAGAGTGGCGTGCGAGTGGTTCGCCACCCCCAAGAGTGGCAAGCCAGTGGTTTGCCACCCCCTGAGAGTGGCGTTCGAATGGTCTTCCACCCTTGCATGTGGCATGCGTGTGGTTTGGCACTCCCCTGAATGGGGGGCGATTGGTTTGTCTCTTCCCGGGGTGCCGTGCGAGTGGATTGCCACCCCCCCATAGTGGCTTGCAAGTAGATTGCCACCGCCTAGAGTGGTGTGCGAGTGGTTTTCCACCCCCCGAAAGTGGCGTTCGAGTGGTTTGCCACTTCTTTAGAGAGGCATGCGAGTGGTTTGCCACCCCCTACAATGGCGTATGATTGCTTTGCCACCACCCCAGAGTGGCATGCAAGAGGTTTGCCACCCCCAAGAGTGGCGCGCGAGTGGTTTGCCACCCCTTCTGATGGTGTGCGAGTGGTTTGCCAACCCCCAAGAGTGGCATGCAAGTGGTTCGCCACCCCCCAGTGTGGCGTGCGTGTGCATTGCCACCCCTCGAAGTGGCATGCGAGAGGTTTGCCACCCCCCGACAGTGCCGAGGAGTGGTTTACCACCTCCCGAGACTTGCATGCGAGTGGTTTGCCGACCCCCCAGAGTGGCGTGCGAGTGGTTTGCCACCCACCGAGAGTGGCGTGCAAGTGGTTTGCCACCCCCCAAGAGTGGCGTGCGAGTGGTATGCCACCCCCGAGAGTGGCGTGCAAGTGGTTTTCAACCCCCCCCCAAGTGGCGTGCGATTGGTTTGCCACCCCCCAGAATGGCGTACGATTGGTTTGCCACCCCCTAGAGGGGCGTGGGAGTGGTTTGCCACCCCCCAAGAGTGGCGTGTGAGTGGTTTGCCACTCCCTGAGAGAGTGTTGTGCGAGTTATTTGCCACACCCGATAGTGCCTTGGAAGTGGTTTGCCACCCTCTAGAGAGGCATGCGAGTGGTTTGCCACCCCCTGATTGTGGCATGCGGATGGTTTGCCACCCCCTAAGAGGCATGCGAGTGGTTTGCCACCCGACTAGGAAAGCGAGCGAGTGGTTTGCCACCCCCTAGAGTAGCATGCGTTTGGTTTTCCACCCCCCCAAAGTGGCGTGCGAGTGGTTTGCCACGCCCCCTTATGGCGTGCGAGTGGTTTTCCATGCCCCGCAAGTGGCATCCAAGTGGTTTGCCACCCCCGAGAGTGGTGTGAGTGTGGTTTGCCATCCCCCGAGAGTGGAGTGCGTATGGTTAGCCACCCCCCGAAAGTGGCGTGCAAGTGGTTTGCCACCCACTGAGAGTGGCATGCGAATGGTTTGCCACCCCCTAAGTGGCTTGGGAGTTGTTTGCCACCCACCCGAGTGGAGTGCGAGTGGTTTGCCGCCCTCTGAGAGTGGCGTGCGAGTGGTTTGCCACCCCCCAGAGTGGCGTGCGATGGGTTTGCCACCTCCCAAAGCAGCGTGCGAGTGTTTTCCCACCCCTCGAGAGTGGCGTGCGAGTGGTTTGCCACCCTCCGGCAGTGGTGGTCGAGTGGTTTGCCACCCCACAATGTGGCGTGCGAGTGGTTTGCCACCCCTCGAGAGTGGAGTGCGAGTGGTTTGCCACCCCTCGAGAGTGGAGTGTGAATGGTTTGCCACCCCTCGAGTGGGTTGTGCAAGAGGTTTGCCACCCCCCGAGAATGGCGTGCGAATTGCTTGCCACCCCCCAGCATGGTGTGCGAGTGGCTTGCCACCCACTGAGACTGGCATGCGAATGGCTTGCCACCCCCGTGAGTGGCTTGGGAGTAGTTTGCCACCCCCCGAGTGGCGTGCGAGTGGTTTGCCACCCCCTAGGAGTGGTGTGCGAGTAATTTGCCACCCCTCGAGAGTGGCGTGCGAATGGTTTGCCAACCCCCCGAGTGGTATGCGAGTGGTTTGGCACCCCCCAAGAGTGGCGTGCGAGTGGTTTGCCACCCCCCAGTTTGATGTGCGAGTGGTTTGCCACCTCTCGAGAGTGGAGTGCAAGTGTTTTGCCACCCCCCAGAGTGGCGTGCGAGTGGTTTGCCACCCCTCAGAGTGGAGGGTGAGAGGTTTTCCACCCCCAAAGAGTGGAGTGCGAGTGGTTTGCCACCCCTTGGGAGTGGCGTGCGAGTTGTTTGCCACCCTCGAGAGTGGCTTGCAAGTGGTTTGCCACCCCTCAAGAGTGGTTTGCCACCCCCCAAGGTTGTTTGCGAGTGGTTTGTCACCCCACGATAGTGGCATGCGAGTGGTTTGCCACCGCCCTAAGTGGCATGCGAGTGGTTTGCCACCCTTCGAGAATGGCGTACGAGTGGTTTGCCACCCCCCTAAGTGGCGTGCGAGTGGTTTGCCACCCCCCACGAGTGGCGTGGGTGTGGTTTGCCACCCCTGGGGAGTGGCGAGTGAGTGATTTGCCACCCCCCATTGTGACATGCGAG